CTGGATGACCACAAGTTCTGAGAGGGAGAATAAACTTTCTCTATCCAGTTTCTCCATGCCATGAATAATTTCACAAACATCTGTCTTGTCATGACTTACTCGCCTTTTCTCTAAACAAAAAAGTCCTAAATATTGCAACATTTCCTAATAGGGGAGTTGCTCCATTCCCTTGATCACCTTGGTTGCCCTTTGCTGAACAATTTTTGAACCATGACACCATTTCAGTTTCTTTCTTCTTCTTAGTTTTCCAATCTTAAATTTGGTTCACTACATTTCTACATCCACTTGTGTTTTATTTTATTTTATTTATTATAAAAAACTCATGAAAACCCATCTGCATTTTACTGCAATTTTTTCCTAGCATATGCATATTTGCATTCAATTATTGCCAAACACACACAATGTTGCAAGCAATTTTCAAAAGTGCAATGGATTTTTTTCTTGTTATACTGAGTCATAAATGTATTTTAATGTACACTTTCCCCTAACAGACCCGGTTTGTTGCTGTTGCTGTTGTAGAACTACATTACAAAACGTGGAGAAGTGTGGCTTTCAAATCTAGCTCTATCTTTTGTTTGCATATTGTTTTTGGAAATATGCATTTGGTTGGTTGTATTAAATTGTGAGCCAAACTAAATTTGTCCCCTGCCCCTAACATAATTACAAGGTTCTATCAAATGGCTGCACCTCTTCTTGTTGTGGGAAAAGTTTTTATTGGGCTGAGTTTATTAGATGGTGTGAGGAAAGAAAGGAATGAGAGCACGGAGATTTTAATCCCATAGGCCTCTAAGGCCAAAGCTCTTCTGTCTTTCTTTCAATTTATGTCACTTGAATCTCAGAGAGCTCAGAACAGTTTGCATATGCTTTCCCAGGTGGTCTCATGTATGGGTGGCATATAGGGGAAAACCTATTAACTTCAGCAGGAAAATTGTATTATAGGCCCTCAGGCCATTCTCTGGACCATAAACATAATAATCTCAACTAAATGAAGCTCCTTCAGAAAGCTAAACCCTATAGAGGATGAGTGGATATGTGTGTGGAGGGTGTTTGTGTTGCAATGAACCCCAGGTTCTATGCACACAGAGACATTTTGTGCACTCACATTCACCCACACAAACTGTATCAGTAAAATTCCAATCACTCAGTGTGTGGGGTGGGGTGGGGCCTTCATCACAGTATTGTCCTTTACTACCTATTCTCATGCATGGAAGACAGTAGGTGGTGCTGTGGGTTAAACCAGAGCCTAGGACTTGCCGATCAGAAGGTCGGCAGTTCGAATCCCTGCGATGGGGTGAACTCCCGTTGCTCGGTCCCTGCTCCTGCCAACCTAGCAGTTCGAAAGCACGTCGAAGTGCAAATAGATAAATAGGTACCGCTCCAGTGGGAAGGTAAACGGCGTTTCCGTGTGCTGCTCTGGTTCGCCGGAAGCGGCTTAGTCATGCTGGCCACATGACCTGGAAGCTGTACGCTGGCTCCCTCGGCCAATAAAGCGAGATGAGTGCCGCAACCCCAGAGTCAGTCACGACTGAACCTAATGGTCAGGGGCCCCTTTACCTTTACCTATTCCCATGCATGGAAGACAGTAAAAGGGTGACAGTGAAGGATGCTGGTGTATGTGTGTGTCCTGAGTGTCCATGAAGTCATATCCACTTCCTAAGGTTCACATTATTGGCCTCAGGAGGACTTTGGTTCAGATAATGTCCCTCTTGAGGTGGAACAGTCACCACCCCTTTCTACGGTGCCCTGGGATGGAGACATCACTCTTGCATCATCAATGTGTGAGGCTGCAGTCTGCCCTCCTTCACAACCACACAGTACTATACAACTTGAAAATAGACTGATGTCCCTTTAAATATAGCATGGTAAAGAGCACAAAACTGGAAAAGTCATGCCGTCACAGCCTTTCTAAGGCTTCAGACCACTCTGTATCTTTGCTGATGCAGCACCTTCCCAAACTCAGCTAGCAGGGTCCACCGGGAGCTGTCCATGGTCATGATACAATTTGTCTTGATTTACCATGTCCCTGACCTGCACTGGACAAGACTGGTATTCAGGACAGGATACCTGGTGCCCACAGACATTTTGGATGAAATCTTCATTCAGCTCCAATATGCATACCCAATGTCAGAGATGGTGGGAATTATATTCCAAAACATCTGGGAGATTTAGGAAGGCTGCACTAGATCAAGCCTCATCGTATTTGCATTTCCCCACCCTTTCGCCCCATTTGTTGGTCAGGCTAGAGTCTGTTGAGCATAATGGAATGTTTATATACTATTGTGAATATATGTGGCACTTCAGACTGAGTGCCTCAAAAGTTTGGGAGTTGGTATGAGAAAGCTGAATTTTATTGCATTCGGCTCCCGTAAGTGACAGTATAATTGCAGAAGCTCCATATAATAACAACAACAACACTGTAGTGAATTTGAAAGGCCTTCTGTTCTATTACAAATATTTATGCCTTTTGAAAAATGCACAGCATAGACCTTTCCTGTCTCCTGCAAAACCTCTGAACCAGGGTGTTCATTAAATTCAGTCGCATATGCACCAAACACTCTGAAGAAGAATGGTGAACCACAGTTAGAAAGATGTAAGCAATGTTTACAGAAAACATTTTGACATTGGGAGCTGGAAAATGTTTTGTAAACATTCAGCTTTGCAATAAGTACTTCTTCTTCTTCTTTTTCTTTTTAAATCTCCTACATTTTAAAAAAATGAAATGCAGGAGAGGCAAATTTAACAATGGAAGATCATGGTATTGACCACCAGGTATAGTATTATAGGCCCCTCACATCAACTTGAGTATTAATACCATGTACAGTAAAGATATGCAGTGTCTGATAACATAGTGATTTGGGGGACTTTCTCTCCTTTCCAAGTTGAAGTGTGATGTTAATAACACACAGGGACCCCACAAAGTTTCATGCCATTCAGCTGTTTTGTGCATTTCAGACCGTATAGTTCTATGTTTTCTTTTATCTCTGTGCTATTATCGGTCCATGGACTTGGCAAGAAGTGAGGCTGGCAAAAATGTTACCTGCAGAGAACTGAAGGAATCTGGATTTCTATAATTAACAAGTTGTTAAAGCCCAGCATTGGAGGATTTTTAAAAAGCTTATTTTGTTTTATTTTATTTTATTTTCACCCTACACTGCTCTGCTTTAACACAAAGAAACAAATAGAAGTCATCCAGACCTCTTCAGAATGCTACAGACAACTAGTTAGGCTCACAGTGTAAGGACTATCAGAGGCCTGGGACTTCCGGGTTGGCGCCTCTGGCAAGGGCGGATTTCCTCCGATCGGGAGGAACCCACTCAGTGAAAAACAGGGTTTGAACCGCCACGGCGAGGCGGAGACCCATTAAAAACCACAGGACGTGGGATTCGGCTGGCACCTTTGCGCCTCCCCTACTCATGGGGAAACCCTGTTTTGGGGATCCGGAGCGACGTGGGGTGAGTGGTGCGGTGCTTTGAATCGACTGCTTCTTTCACGGAGTGAAGCCGCATTGCTGTTGCCGGAGAGCGCTGACTTTTTCCTGTGGACAATTGGATTTTAAACAACTACTCGTGAGTAAAACGGAAAATTGGATTTTTAAATACTTCAATTTGGCACTGAAACGGGAAGGTTATAAACAGGAAGTCCGCCTCCCGTTTTTGTAAATAAACTGAAGCAAAGACGTTACAAGTAAAGCTTTTGAAAGCTTTTGGCAAAGGATCAAATTTCCACCGGTTTAAAAATACAAAACCCCCCTTGGAAGCAGGAGAAGAGGGGGAATTTTTTTGGATCTAGTGAGCCTGCAGGAGAGAGTGAAAAAATCAAATTACCACTGCTCTGAACCTGGGAACGGGCTGCCGGATGACATTTGGAGAGAGTGCTTTTGACAGAAAGGATCTGACAGCTAGCTAAACAAGAGTTGGTACAAGACTTGGTACAGGAACCCACTTTGGCACGACAAATGGTGGAGGAGAAGGAGGAGAAGGAGAATGCAGCTGTTGTTGAACATAAAATAATACAAGTGAGATCTGGGGATTTACAGAAGCAAATTGGAGATTATAAATTGAGGCCTTCTATGATAGAATCTAGGAAAAGCCAGACTCCGAGGAATGGATCCCGGTTTGGATTAAAGAAGGAAAGTTGGAAAGAGCCCTCTATGCAGGGACTAACTGACTTTTGGGACATGGACTCGGGCCTGGAGGAGATTGAAGTTTTGGGGGCCTTTGGAATTGGAGGAATCTTGAAATATACCCGGAAATACTTTATGGACTGTAGTTTTAACTATGGAAATTCAGCTGATCTGTTCAGAAGGAAGAAAAGGATTGACAGGTTGGAATTTCCCCGAGATTGGCTATTTAGCATTAAAGAAAATGAAGAAGACCTGCAGAAGGGACTTGGAAAAGAGTTAAGAGCCTTGGACATAAGATCACCAGGTTGATGGACTTTATGGTATTGACGGAAAGGACTGGCAGAATCCGAAACCTGGGAGAGGAGATGGTGGAAGAAGATTGGAAAATTTAAAGTTTATATATAGACTTATGGTAAAACTAATGAGTGATAGAAAAATGGTGGAATGATTTTTTATTTTTTATTATTTATGGGCTTAACAGAAATGTTATAAGGAGTTAAGCACATATAAGTAATTTAGTTTTAATGGAAAATAAGGTTAAAATAATACGTTATTTACAATATCACAGAAAATGGAGAAAGATGGAAAGGATTTGCTGAAACAATTAATAGAAGTGGAACACAAAAAGGGAGGTGTGAGGAGGTCGAGGAAACAAGGGAACGAAAGATAGAGTATGGAAAAGAGATGATGTATGTTTTTAAATTGTTTTTGTTTTGGGAGTGGGGTTTGTTTAGTTCAGTTTAATGTGTTTAGTTTTGAGTTTAGGTTGTGTTTTGTATTGTTTATATATTGTATTGTATTGTGTTTTTCTTTTTGCTTTTCTCCTTTGTTCTTTCTTCTGTTCTTTCTTTTCTTTTTTGCTTTTTTCTCTCTTTTTGTAATCTATAAAAGTAATAAATATTATTATTTTTTTTAAAAAAGGACTATCAGAGGCCTGTTTGTATTATGGACAGAAACAAGCACCAGGAAGTTCAGTGTAAGCTGCAAAGTTTTAAAAGATGTTCAAATGCAAGCAGACAAGCCAAGAATATACTGAGTCAGTGGAGCTTAAAGGTAAAGGTAAATGTACCCCTGCCCGTACGGGCCAGTCGTGACCGACTCTGGGGTTGTGCGCCCATCTCGCTTAAGAGGCCGGGGGCCAGCGCTGTCTGAAGACACTTCCGGGTCACGTGGCCAGCGTGACGAAGCTGCTCTGGCGAGCCTGTACCAGAGCAGCACACGGAAACGCTGTTTACCTTCCCACTATAAAGCGCTACCTATTTATCTACTTGCACTTAGGTGTGCTTTCGAACTGCTAGGTGGGCAGGAGCTGGGACTGAACGATGGGAGCTCACCCCCCCGTGGGGATTCGATCCGCCGACCATACGATCGGCAAGTCCTAGGCACTGAGGTTTTACCCACAGCGCCACCCGCGTCCCTCAGTGGAGCTTACTCCCACATAATTTAGGATTACACTCACCTTCCACAGGTCTTCAGGAATGTGAATCCAGATCTTCCCAGCCTAATTCCAGCATGCTAACAATTACACTATCCTTTACCAGCCCACTAATATATGACTGCTAGCTTATCCTAATTAATTGTATATTATGCTCTGTGCTGTCTACATTTTTGGACTTACCTTGAGGGTGTGACTATGGGAGCTTTAATGATGAGCTCCTACTCCAAAAGGGACCATAGTTTAGTGTCAACATCTATTACTGAGATAATCTAAGCAGTAATACTATCAGCACGGATAGTGTTGTGAACTGCTATTCAGCACTTTCCCCCCCCTTTTTTTAAACCCACAAATCTGGAAGCTTTGCCTTTACTATGATTTAGCTTCATGACGATAGGGCATGGTGATGTTTAAGCTCTAAAAATATTTTACAGGTTAAAAAACAAAGCAAGGGACCAAGAGATCGCTGGAATCACAATCACCACAGGACCCCACAATGAGGAACAATGAAAAGGGAGTCAGGGTGTCAGCTCTGCCCCACCTTCAATCCAAGAAAGGTCTATAAAATGTCAGTGTCCATTTTGGAAAGATAGAAGATGCATTGTTGTTGGGAAAATGAGAGTTTGTCATCATTTCTGTAATTCAGTTGAATGGCCCAATACTTAAATGGGGGGCGGGCAAGGAGGCATGATTAAGCTACAAAGCAAATGATATAACAATAACTTTTGTAGTGCTCATTATCATATTTGAGACTTTTGCTATTAGCATTGTTCACATCTTTACAGGACTTCCCTGCAGTCTCTGAAATTTAAGTCGAGTGGCAAAGTTCTGAATCAAGGGTGGTGGGAACTCAGACCCAGTCCCCAAATGCAGCTCTCTAGGCCTGCTGGGGATGTTCCCTAGGCTATGTCCCATTCCCAGATCTCAAATCTCCAAATCTCTCACTCGTCCTGCCCTGTTTCCTCCTTCATTACTTTTGCCAGGCTGGAATATCTTATTGAACTTGGATAATGCTTCTTGCAATGTGTTAATGTGTAGAAAACTATTATTTTTTTGTTCAGATAGAAAGCAAGATTTTGTACAAGAGTAAAAACCCTCCATTCTTCTGGCCTTATCCTCCTTTTGCATCTGTCCCCACCCATTACTTCTTCACAAAGGGAATATAGCCCTCAGGTTGTAAAATAGTCTCAATCCCTGGTCTAAATTGTTTCCAGAAATCTAGAAGCAGAATGGACACCCCCAAAAGGGGGGTTGGACTCCCCCAGAGAGGACCCCCCCCCTCTCTATATATAATACAGTGCTCCTTTTGTGGTAACTGGGTTGAGTTCACACATCCTGACTTGAAAAACAAAACAAAGAAGATCCTGTTATGCTGAAGTGGGCTATTGAGAGTTTCTGTAAAACAGATTTTCTTTCTGCCAAGAGCCCAGGGATTCTGGTTATTGAAAGGCTCACAGGAATTGCAACGGGCCTTGTGTTTGTCACTCTCTTCAAATCCTCATTCTGTGCTTGACATGATTCGGAGATCACCTCTTAAAGCTTATCTAAGTGAGGGAAAAGGCAGCCTTCAAAGCTTTAACTCTGCCACGATACGGCCAGCAGCAAATGCGGAAACATGACTGGCAGTCAAAGTTCATTTCCTGAGGTTTCCAGACCATGCACCACAGAAATCACACTGCTTTGATTATATTCCTACTATTCAGCTTGGGGAAATATTTATTTTTCAACCCAGAAGCTTCAGGTAATACAGAACACAGTGTCCTGCTTCTTGAAATCCCAGAGTTGGGGAAAGTACAGAAAGACAAAGGGCAGTTGTGTCTTCCCTATGAGGAGAGGCTAAATTGATAGGGAGGGTGTATTCATCAAGAGGGGTGGATGTGTTTAAGGGGGAGATGGTACAATAGAGGTTCACAGAGGGGAAGAGGGTATTATAGCATCTGCACTGGTTCTTAGATTGCAGGGGACCTCAGGCTTGGGGGGCAAATGCAGCTCCCCATACCTCTGGCCCTCAGGACTCCAAGCCACACACACCACACCATGCTCAGGTCTGCTTTGCACCCTCCTTGCATGTTTTTGCCTGTCCTTTAATTCTTATAATGCTTTATGCTATCCTGGATGGAAAAGAGATGATAATGCATAAGTGTAGAGTTGGAAAAGGTTCAAGAAAGGGCAACCAAAATGCTAAAGGAACAACTCTACTGAGGGAAGGTTGCAGCATTTGGAACTTTTTAGTTTAGAGTGGGCAAGTGGGCAAGAGGTGACAATATAGCAGTTTATAAAATTATGCACAACATGGAGCAAGTGGAAAGAAAAATATTTTTTTCTCCTCTCATCACAGTAGAACTCCAATGAAGCTGAATGCTGAATATTCAGGACAGATAAAAGGAAGCGCTTCTTCACACAGTGCGTAGTTAAACAAGGGAACTCACTCACACAGGAGGCAATGATGGCCACCAACTTGGATGTATTGGTGAAATAAGTCATCTTAACAACCTATGGCTTGTTTCTAACCAACAATAGTTAGGATTAACCACGGTTTGTTGGGTTTGGAAAGAATAACAAGCTGCAGTTAAAGCTAAACTGTAAGTGGGAGTTCTGAGCTTATTGCAACCACATCAGAGCAGTGGAATGGAGGATGCACAAGCCAGAGGCTTGCTGTTGCTTGCTCAGATCACAATAAATGATGGTTTATTGTGATATCCAAATGCAGAACTATTTTAATTTCAATTGTTATTACAAAAACAATCACAATACAAGGTGAATGCACACATTAAAAAATCATTAAAATGAAAACAGTGCAAAAAATTGATGTCCAAGCTATTTCGCAGTTCGCTCTTATAAAACGAGTAAAGGGAGGCCATGCATTCTAAAGTGTCCCAATTTCCATGTGAACATAAAGTGTTTTTTTGCTACAGAGTTTAATTGTTACACATCCTAACTCTTGAGGGATATGGTGCATGAACATCTTCATCCATGCTTACGGAATATATTGCAGCCTCTTCCAGCTACAATGGACATTAATGGGAAATTAGGATTTGCCACTGAAATATGGATGAAACCAGGAAATCATATTCTTGAGATGCATAAATTATTATCTACCATTTGATCTTTTTAAAGGAAGAAAGTGTCAAGCAGGTCAGCCAATTAAACAACCAATATTTACACTATCACGAGGCCATCTGGCTGATTAGCAGATCTCGTTTTAATGAGCTGGTTTGTTCATGAAAGATAAAAATTCTTCTCTGACGTCCCCCCTGCCCAAAACACAGACACATGCCGCAGAACTGTTAATAATCAAGAGATGTGTAATGTTGTGAAAGGAAGACAAATGAATATTTACTACAACCCACTAAATATTTTATCGAGTACAAAAGGTCTGCTCGGTTAAAACACTCCATTATGATCTTGTGGAGGAGGAGAGCAGGGGGGGTGGGGGGCTTCACTTATGCACAAGAATGTAGTTGGTGTCAAGCCACAGCCACCACCATTTTAAAATGTTGCCATGGCAACTCAAGGCAACTTAGGAAAATGCAATCCATAGTTCACATCCAGCACTTAGCCTTTAAAAAATTACTTCATTGAAAGAGAAACCTTAACCGTCTGACAATATTTCTAAACAAAGGCCCCTCAAACTGACACTAATGACTAAGAGCCAGAACCCAAGTGGCGATGAGCACCTATCTTTCCCTCTTGCGGATTTCAATGGGAGTCCTTTGTATGTGCCCAATATAGCATCTAGGCCTCAATGATACAGTTCCTTAACTGCTTAATGGTGGCACTGCTCAGATTTCAGTCACTGCTGCCCTTTAATTAACCTCATGGAGGGCCACCATATTATTAAGGGCATACGACTCTAGATAACTGGCCGGTGTTTTAGGTCACTGTCTTTACAGTACACTAAAATACAAAGCATTCAGTCTCCACATCTGCAATCTTGCCTCTTTGCAGTGCTGGTTCTGGGAACAGTGTAGCAAGTGAGGAGAGTGTCTTGCTTTGGATTCTTAGACTTTTACAAATAGCCCAAGTTTCTGTTTCTACCAAAGTTTCTCATTCATGGATGTTACACCACTGCTGTTGCCCATGAACCTCATTTATCCTGACGTTTGTTGGTTCTTGCTACTTTCCCCCAAGGGAAACAAGATACTACTGGCATTTCCAAACTGGTAGTAGTGTAACACAACAACTATTGTGCTGCTCAGCTATCTCCAGATTAAAGATTCCCCCAAAGATGTGCTTTCATAAATACATGTGTAAGGCTTAATGTGCACTGGCAAATAGAAACATCAGCAGATCTTCTGACATCAGCTAAGCCAGGGGTGGCGATGCTACTGAACTACAACTCTCACTAACCCCTTCAACCTAATGCGCAGGGATGATGGGAGTTGTAGTTCAGCAACATCTAGAGGGCCACAGTTCAGGGAGAACTTTCTGACAGTAAGAACTGTTCAACAGTGGAACGGACTCCCCCGGCAGGCTGTGGACTCTGCTTCCTTGCAGGTTTTTAAGCAGAGGATGGATGGCCATCTGTCATCCAACTTTGGTTGAGATTCCTGCTTTGCAGGGAGTTACTCGGTCCCTTCCAACCACTGGCGGAGGAAGGGGGTGCAGTGGATGCGGTCCGCCCCGGGTGTCATCCCAGGGTGTGTGTGACATCGCCGCCCCACCCCCCTGGGATGCTCATGCCACCCCTGCAAGCGGCTAGCCCCCCCCCCCCCCCGTGCACAGCATGTGCGCCACTCCAGGTGCCGGAGCAGCTAGCTCTGCCTCTGCTTCCAACTCTACAATTCTGTGAGTCACCACTTCCTGAGCTAGGCTATAAGACCCTCACTATCATTGCCCCCCAGCTACCAAATGCGTGAAAGTTGTAGCTAATAATTGTATGGTTTCTTTCAAGCCAAGCCTTGTGTCAACTCAAACCTTTCCTCATCATCACACATAGTTTCACTTCAGATATTGTAACATTTGGTTATTGTTTTATAATACAGTGGTACCTCGGGTTACAGACGCTTCAGGTTACAGACTCCGCTCACCCAGAAATAGTACCTTGGGTTAAGAACTTTGCTTCAGGATGAGAACAGAAATCGTGCTCTGGCGGCGCAGCAGCAGCAGGAGGCCCCATTAGCTAAAGTGGTGCTTCAGGTTAAGAACAGTTTCAGGTTAAGAACGGACCTCTGGAACGAATTAAGTTCTTAACCTGAGGTACCACTGTATTGCCTTTCTTCATTTGGATTGAGTAAATTTAAGTTTGGAAATAGGCCAGGCCCCTTTTCCCACTCTACCTCACTCTGGATTCCAGTTGATTTAAAACAAACTCTTTTTACCTTTATTGGAAACGACATTGGATATGCAAAGAGCTAGTGCCCTTTTTCAAATCCAAGGGCCACATCCTCTCATGGACAACCTTCCAGGTGCCACATGGCAGTTGTGGGAAGGGCCAGAGGCAAAAGCCAGTGAAACAATTGACCTAAATTTTTCTTTAGCACAGTAGGCTAGTTTCTACATGCATTCATACACTGCTTTCTACCCAAATTGAGGAAAACAAAAGACATTATTAGAGTCTAAAGGCACATTTCCAGCTGGGCAAAAACACCCAATGAGGGTGTGCAGTAAGGCCATGTGGCTTGTGGAGAGATGGAGAGGGTGTGAGACCTGGGGAGAGTCCTAAAAGTTAGGAAGAGAAGCCTTCGGCCCCCAGGGCTGTGATCCTCACCTACTAAGCATAATGCAGCAAACACCAGCGTTGTGCCACTGCAGTTCTCTGCAAAACACACTTAATATGTCTATGTAACCTTTGAGTTAAAACAAACTTCTCCCTCTCTCACATACACTCTTCTTGGTAGAGCCTGCACTAAGAGGAACCTGAGGTCCCAGTTTAGATGTATTGGTAATGTCTCCAACACACACACACTCCTGTAATGCATGTGTATTTTACTTCCACAATTTGCACACTTGTTGCTGAAAATGCCAGCCATAACTTGCAGCACTGCCCTGGATAAGATGGATGAAGTTATAATTAAAACAAAGCCAAATCCCTGAGACAGCAAACACTGCATATATGTGTGTGTTTAAACAATTTCTCCCCTCCCTCTACCTCTAATGCAATTTACCAAGACAGTGAGAGCTCTTTAATTAATTTTAATTAGCAGTATGCATCCTACTAACTCAGGCAATCATTTAATCATTGTAAAGGTACTGTCGGGATCACTCTCTTTTCAGTTGCATGGAATTCCAGAAGGCGAAACAAGTTTTTAATCATTATAATCCTAGATTTATTTATTGTTGTGATTGCTAATAATGATGATTATTTTGAAACCCCCCCCCCACGCTCCACGTATTTCCTCCTTCAGAATAGATACTGTTTTACAGGTCTTGGCTTACTTAGTATCACAGCACTGAGTGAGGGAAGATGGAAGCTGCTGTTTTTGAAAAAGGACAATCTGTGCCAGCTATTTCCAGACAGGAAGACAAAAGTTCCACTTAGGTTCCACTTTCTTCCATAAACATTTCACAGAGCTGAACGGAACATTAGGCAGAGGAGGGCAACTGACTTTGGGTAGTGATTGTTCTCTAATTTAGAAACTGAAAGTTATCTAATTTATAAAATTGGTATCAAAAACAGCAAATTCATAAAATCATAGAATTGTAGAGTTGGAAGGCACCACAGGGGTCATCTAGTCCAACCTCCTGCAATGCAGGAATCTTTTGCCCAATATGGAACTCAAACCCACAAACCTGAGATTAAAAGTCTTCTGCTCTACTGACTGATCTATCCCGGTTTTAGGCACTGGATTTATTACTCTTATTTTATTTTTATTGTCATGCAAGAAGTGTTCCAAAATAAGTTGGCTTGCCCTGGGCACTACTCAGCTTAGGTGATACTCAAGTAAGTTTTACTCCAAGCAGATGTATGAAAATTAATGGGCCAAACACACTCATATTCATAGGAGCCAACTCCTAGGAGTGAAGGTCCCTTCAGCCCCTGTAATAAAACATTTGGGAGGGCTGGGCCCTCCCAAAATTAATGGACATTGCTATTCAAATGGTGTGTGTGCACCATGTTATGTGATCGATTATTGTGAGGTGGGGCTTACCTCCCCCCTCCCAATATTTTATTCGAGTTGGCATCCCTGCTTATGGTCATTAATTTTAGTGGGTGTACTCTGAGTTAAAGTTAGTTGACTACTACCCCTTGCAAATATGCCAGAAGTCTCTTTCAAAGAGCTCAGGGGCAAGAAACCTCTTCTGGATCATCTACATTCCCTTTCACCCCTTATGCTGCCGCAGCTATGTATCTTCCACTTTTGTATCTGACTGCCCTCCAAGTTCAGATACAAATTTCAAGAGTTTGTGATACTCACCTCAGAGAAGAAAATGTATGCCTGAATCATAGAATCATAGAGTTGGAAGAGACCACAAGGGCCATCGAGTCCAACCCCCTGCCAAGCAGGAAACACCATCAGAGCACTCCTGATGAGGTATTGAATTAATTCCAGAAAAGAATATCTAGCTGATCCATTTGGGGGCAGACAGCTCTCTTTAAAGCACAGGAAATCCCCCCTGTGCTGTCTTGGAAGAAGCAGAGAACTTCTTCCACTGCCCCCACTGAGACCCGGTGTGGTGTAGTGGTTAGAGTGTTGATCAGGACCTGGGAGACAAAGGCTTAAATTCTTCCTTGGCCATGAAGCTCACTGGGTGATGTTGGGCCAGCCGGCCAGCCACTGCCTCTTAACCTAACTTACCTCACAGGGTTGTTGTGGAGAATGAATGAGGAGGGGTAGAACCATGTATACCACCTTGACCTCTGGGGTGGGGAAAAATTAGGATAAATGCAATAAATAAATAAAAAACACCTAGCAGGTGGCAAACACAATCCCTGACCTATTAAGACCAGTAAGTCTTCAGTGATTCCTTCCCTTTTGCCTGCACACCCCCACCCTAAAAAATAACAACGGACATTTTGCTATGTTAATTTATAGACACCATTACTCACTTTTAAAAGAAGGAAATGCTCTTGGTAGTTAACTGCGTACAGAGCCCCAACTTCCACTCTGAAAGACAGGCTTTATAGACTGCACAATATATTTTTTGTCTGTTGTTGAGATATGTCTCCTATTATTTTTTAACAGATTACCATCAGATTTCTTAAATGATAGAACAGGCAAACCTTTAAACACTCAGTGAATCCTGAATTATTAAAGATAAAAGGTACTTTGGTATATTTATTATCGTGCTGAAGGGAATCATCATTGTAGATGTCTGGATTAAGCTCTTATCTTTTTAAATGGCCCCCTCACCACTGAGGTAAATTTCAAGATCCACTGCTATAAACTTCCAAACACAGCTCCAGTTTTATAGCACTTTGTTCCCAGTGTTATTAACCACCACTTTGCTGTACACAAGACTTTCTTTAACCATCGCTGTCCTGGTTATATATGAGTGCTCTTGCAGAATAATTGCAGTTGGTCTGAAGCTATCATATTATGCCAAAGAATAATGACAATAGCAACAACAGGAGCAGAATTAGAGAAATAGTACCAGCAATGTAAGTACAGCTCTGCAGGGGAATGTAAGCAACAAACAAACAAGACACAAACACAAACATACA